TGTGTGTGTGTGTGTGTGTGTGTGTGTGTGTGTGTATACACGCACACACATCTGTCTGTTCACTCTTCAGAGAGTATCACCAACTTACTGCTTATATTTAAAAGACATAGGCCATACAAATATAGAGTGATACAATGGGCTCCTTAACATTTTATAACCATCATCAGTCTTTCAAATATTGATTTTGGTAACTTTTTACATATAATAGTTTTTATTGCTTCACATAAATATTTGCCTTAACCATTCAACATGCTCAAACTTGCACTGTCTGTGGTTTGCATGAATTCCTGCATTATTTGCAATGATGCCATCATATATTATTGCAGAGTATACATTGGGGCAGGTTATGATGGGTTGAACATTGACAGCCAATATTTTCAGGGCAGGTTGAATGCTAAAGGGGTAATACTATTTGCTTTTTGTGTATACAATCTCTTTTAATGATGGACCATACGTTTTCTACTGAATTTATATCTGAAGAAGCTTAGACACCCTTTTATTAATTTGGTGTCTTCAAAACTTTTCTTTTTTTTGGCAAAGTAAGCTATTATCAGTTTTGCAGAATCTAAATGAACATTTTTTTTGTATAAATATACTCTTTAGCTTAAAGTTTCTTAGTTGTGATATGTATCATTCAAAAAAAATATCTTATCCAAGAATTTAAAATAATCCTATGCAATTTATCTTGGTATCAGTATCACCTTTGAAGTTTGAATTTTACTGCCAATAATACTAACCCAAAACAGTAGTGCACCTCCTCCTGTTGTTCTCTATGTCATGTTTGTTGAATATTTCTATAAAAGATTCAACCTCCAACCCATCCATCAGGTACATCCAATGTTGCTCTAAATTCAGCAGTAAAAATTACTTTTGAGAAATCAGTTTTCATTTACTTCTCCCCAATCCCTGAATTGCACATTTTTCTTTTGTGATGCTTACTTAAAGTTTAGATAAAGACATGAAAGCAATCCATGTTCTTAATATTCTCCATTTTTTTGTTTACATTCACAATATCAACTTTCTTGCTTATTACTCTTTTTTTCTCAGATCTCTCTTCATAAAGCCAATTTTTTTTGTTTTCCTTGCCAATGTTCTTTGATCTCTACTCAATTTTTACAATTTCCAATAAGATGTTCTCATCATTGAATAAATTTACAAAATCTTGTTTCTCTTTTTAGTTATAGCTTTCTTACAACTCATAGTAATCCTTGTCTATCTGAAATTTAAAAATAGCTATAACTATACTGTGTATAATGAACAACTGATGAGTTGTATAAATTGAATCAATAGCTTCATCTACTGCAAGGAAAGTTGGCTCTCCATGTCATGCCAGAAAGTTTTTCTTGTCTGAGTCCATCCTTCAAATCTATAAATCAACCATCCGTCCTTGCATGGAATATTGTTGTCATATATGGTCTGGTGCTCCTGCTGTACGTCTTGAGGTCCTTGACAAAATCCAGAAACAAATGTGCAAGATGATACGTCCTGATCTGGCATCTAGTCTACAATTGCTATCCCACAGATGTGCCGTGGCCTCTCCATCTCTTCTACAAATATTTTCACAGCAACTGTTCTGATGAGCTACTTTTGCTGGTTCCTGGACTACATGAATTTAAATGAGCTACCAAGGTAGGCATCTCGGTCCCACCCTTTCAGTCAAAACAGTTAAATGTAACCGTCTCTTCTCAAACAGTATCTTCTCTCATACTTCCCATCTGTGGAACTCCCTTCTCCTTACTTGCTTCCTTGATAACTATAATCTTCAAATATTCAAAGGTAATGTCAATTGACATCTGACACCCTGAGCTTGTTCCTTGTCTTTCTTTGTATCCTTTCCTCAAACATGCCTCTCTACTCTTGTTCTCAATCCTCTGTAACCCCTTGCAAGCTAGTGGCACCCCCACTTTGCTTGGGGTGAATTGCCATAAAACAAAAAAAAAAATATCTACCACTAAATGTTTTTGTAAATATTTCTAATAAAAATATAAGCTTAACTTGCCATGGTATAATTATCATATAAATGTAAGTATATCCTGAAAGTTTGACCGAAATTGGTTAGTTAATACTAATTTTATTGTGAAAACATTAACAAGCATAATAAAATCTGACATCATATATAGTAGAATACTATATAATGAAGGATTTGGGTTTTCCAAACTGACAATAATACTTTAGTTGCTATACCATTAATTTTCAACACATTTTTAATTTAAATTTTACCAAATACTGTTGAATATTTTTTTTGTTATTTTGAATAATGAAAAAAATATTTAATTCATTATTTTTGAAGAAATGTATAAAAGTTGTTTGGTAATACTAAGTCAATGATAAAATGAGAATAATGTATTCAATGTAATTTATATAATTCAGATGAAAATGTCAAATAGCTTTCAGTCAAATAAATCTCAATTCATGATTGGAGCAGCAAAGTACATGTTGCCATTAGTTACAAAATATTGATAAAGACACTCATGTCCAGATTTTTGCCATTCAAAGATTTCAACTGACCTTAGCTTGAGTGAAATGATGTTGCAGAAAACATTACACTGCTTCCGGGCAAAATGTCCATTTAGAATGATAAAAAAAAAAAAAAAATCAGTAAAACTGATCAGCCAACTATTTATTATAAAATGATGAGATGACCATTATATATTTATATATATATATATATATATATATATATACACACATATACATACATACACACACACACACAAATATATATTTTCCCTTTGTCTTTTTGTGCATGTGTAAGTGAGAGAGTCTCTAAAAAAAGTGGCAGATTAAATACTGCATAAAAAAGGCTAATAGACAAATGTACTGAGAGATTACTTCTTGGATCAATTAAATGGATGAATTGAAAATGTAGATAACTTTTCTGGAGCCAAGCTTGTTGCAGATAATTCCTCTCACAAATGCCAATAATACAACACTAAGCAATAAGAGAATAAATTTCATAAGAGTGACCATACTGATTCCAAAGAACAATTTTGTTTTACTTAAAGTGGCATTCTGAAATTCTTAAGAAAAGAAAGACTTGGAAAAAGAAAGAAATACTGATAGTTTGTTTAGATTAATAAAAAAAATAGTATAGTGATAAGAATGCAGTTTCAAAGCGAGATGTATTTAGGCTAGAAATGGGTTAATAAGCTTATCAGCTAGATTAGTTTATTTTGAATAAGAATATATCAAAACAAAAGTTAAAGTATTGAAATTATATTTCAGAGAACCTTCTATAGAATAAGGGTTAACATGCTTGTCATATAAGTCATTCAATTCCTAACTTGGAATTTGGTGAACCTGGCCTCATGCCAAACTTAGCTTAGTTCAACAAATATTTATATTCAACATTGAGTTAAGTTTTTCCTACATATAAAGATTAAAAATATTTTTAGCATCAAATTATTTTTTTATTTTTATTAAATACAAACTATAATTTTAATACATTTTTTCATAGGTTATTGTGGATAAAAAAATCCACAAAAAGTAAATATAAAATAAACACATTTACTTGAACAAGCACACCACTTGTTTAAGTGAACTTCTACACATTTATTCTGCATACAGGCAAAATCATTGAAATCTTTTTGTTACAATATTAAGCATGCTTAATGTATTTTTCTGTTTGGTGACTGAAGGTTTTAACCTTTGGCTAACCAAATCATTACTATATGAATTAAACACATTAACCTGACAGTGAAATTAATGCTCAGTCTTTAATCTGCCTGTTCAAGAAATGTAAGATGTTATTTTTGTTGCAAAATATTAAATTATCTCTTTCTTTAATGTCACATATTTTTATTCTAACAAATCCACTTGTGTTCTGGGGTCTGTGCCAACATTATACTTTATGTTAAACAGTTTGACTTTGTTTTTCATTTAAATATTACATCACTTGATTAATGCCCAACTCAAAATGATTTTAAGAAGCGTATGCAAATAAATATATGCAAGAAAAGCAAAAAACAGCCAATAGTATTCTAGCCTCATTTAGATAAAATATAGTTTAATATTTAATAACATTTTGTGCATTCTTAAGATCATGCAACATTGTAAACAAATTTTTTTTTAATTCTTGCTTCTTTCAGATTCAGTAAAGAATAAATATTAAATAATCATACTGACCAAAGTTTAATAAAATAATGAAAACTTCATTCTAAAAAAGTTTTATATAAGCATGCCTATGATTTATGGCAGGAAGCCGTATCCCAGTGAACTGAGAGCTGAAACCGAGGCAATGAATATTACATAGGACAGACAGAAAATAAAACTGTGACACCCTGAAAGACAATGCTGATTTTAACCTGGGTACAGCATGTGTATACTAGAGGGGTTGTGGATGAATATTCTAATAAATTTGTCAAAGTCTTTGGCCATCTTATGATGTAGTAAGTCTTACCAGTGCAATAAGGTACAGTGTGGCGAAAGAGCCTTGTGCATGCCAGGGAGATGCATGGATACTCATTCTCTTCAATTATAACCATTTGAGAGAGTTCTTTAAGAGAGACTGGAAGGTCATTTCAAAGAATTGCTGTTCACGTTGAATATGATGCATTGTTGGTGCTTTGACATTAACAACAATGGTCAAATAGCATTCCTCTTGTTGTACTGCCTCAACAGGTGAAAGTGGCAAGTATTCATCATCCATATGATCATACACATACATGACTACAGGCCTGTGCTAACACCTAAGAAGGAAATACAGTGTATTAATATAAAGTTTCAATATTTTTTATACCTTATTTTGATTATTTTATAGCTTATCAACCTTTTGCAGGTTATTTAAAGCTAGAAAGTATTTTTAAATTGTAAGAATTTTTTTTTGAGATAATGATTTTTACTGATACAAGTTCTATTAAATCCATAGCTTGAGGAGAAAAGGTAGATTCATACCTTTCCCAAGTGCAGAGATGAATATAATAAACCTGACTGAAATTGGACCTCGGCTCTCCAATTTTTAATTCTGTGCAACGATCTATTATCCCAACAGTGCATCCAAGCTTACAGCACCTGGTATTCCCAAGTAGTCACCCATCTAGGTACTGACCAGGCTCGACATTGCTTAACTTCAGTGATTGTACGAGAACTGGTATTTCAATGGGATATGGCCATAAGCCACCTTATTTTAGAACATGTGCATGTAATCCAGTTATATTACCTCTACATTTAATCATGGTTAAATTGGAACACATTCAAGGTGTTACAGTTTTCCTTTCCATCAGTGTATATCTTTTTTGTATTACTGGTTGAAAATCTTTGTAGACAGCTGACAATAAATAAAAATGCAAAGAAAAAATCCAATTTTAATTTACAAATGAAAAATAAGATGATTAAAAAAGGAATACCATTTGTCAGATGGAAGTAAAAACTTTTCATTCAATAAAGTTCAACACTATTTTTAATGTTGCACAATTTCAAAAACCAGTGCCATCTACTATTGACTTCTGTTGAGTTTAACATCAAAATAAAGTTAAAGACTGACATTAAGTAATGCAAAGAAAATAGAAAAACTGAAAATTGGTTATTCAGTCACCAAATAGGAAATAATTGTTGCACTGTTTAGGTTCTATGATGGCAAAAATTATGAAACTTGAATATTGGTTGGCACAATTATTTATTAGTATGCTAAAGCAATGAGAAAAAAAATTAAATATTAAATATAAGAAAAATGGAAAAATGGTCAAAATGTTACAATAAAAAAGAAAAAAAGAGAGAGAAATGCCTTAAAAATACAATTAACAGTTTAAGGAGGTTTCTCTTTTTCTACAATGATAAAGTTTAGAATGATTATCACAAATAACAAAAAAGGGCTATTTTATGAGATGAAAGAGCAGATTTTTTTCTTAAGCAATCTTCCCTTATATGAAAATTGCATAGAAGATAGGATTGAGCTTTAAATTTTCTGTCTAGTAAAAATATAATTTCCCAGTATATTAAATAAATATATCTGATGCTAGATTCCTTACTTCTTATGATGTTAATCAATATTAAATGCCCTAAAAGAAAAGGTTTAAAAGGTTCTTTCAAATGGTAGAAAATGCTTCAGCCTTCAGAACCAGAGCAGATCAATTTTTCTTTTTTGCAAAGAATAGCCCTTCACGAGTTACTTGTAATGAAAAATAAATATACAATTAAATATTTATGTTATAGCATGTAAATGATTTCTTGGTATATTTAGAGTTATCAGATCAAGTAGCATGGCTTATGATACTGTAACAATGCTAAGATTACTAAAGATTGATTTTATTAAAAACAAAGATATCCTTTGGTCATCTGTCACATATTTGTAGCCTAAAGAGAGATATTTTCTCTTCAACAAATCAAAATGCATTTCCTGTGCATCTTAGTGCATATACAAAAATGATAGAAAAGTGATATGCACTACAAATTGCTTTTTACTAAATAGATTATCTGAGGTCTCTGAATGAAAGAACAATTAAATGTCTACAAAGAAAATAGTGGGTAAATTTAGAAGGAAAACTAATTGAACTCCAAAGCTATCAGGATAAACTGTTTTATTTTACGATTTTTCTAAACTGCGGTTGATAGAAGCAATACTGACACCACAGAGGAGAAGCTCACTTACTGAATCTGAAGTATTTCGCAGGAACCTTCAAAATCCGTAGAATCTTCCTCATTATCTTAGAAGAGCTGGAAACCACAGCTTCGAAGAGGAGAAGTAGTAGTCAAGAACGTGGACGTCTCTTCAAGAGTGAACATGGGAAGAAAACAAAAAAATGTGCGCAGTTGAAAGTTGAGATACTAAGTAAGCAAGCATGAATGTGTTGTAGTTTACCATGGAAGTTAGTACATAGTCTATATAAGTGTGAGAGTAAATGATTGTGTTGTTATAGAAATTAGTGTATGTATAAGTTGTGGCTCAGTATTAAAAGTTTGTAAGGCTCAATGGATGTATGAAAGTTATAGTGGTTTCATCACAGAAATCAGTATGTATGAGTGCTTTTAATTTTTTTAATATGTATGCAGTCTTTTCTGTTCTTTACTAAAGATTTATAAATGCATGAGAAGATAATTGTTTGCTCATGACAGTACTTATATGTGTTTATGCATGTGTGTGTGTGTGTGTGTATATATTTGTGTGGGGGTTGGAGATGAAGTAGAGAGCAGGAATTTATAGCAGATGGTGGTGTTAGGTAAGGGTAATGTCAGATTGACTTGCTTCTATTAAAGTGGGTGGGTATGGTTTATTTTACAGGGGTTGGGTGAGGTAGAAGAGAGACCTTGAGGTAAAGATAAGCTGCTACTGCCACTATGGTTGCCGCCAGCAGGTAAGCTGCAGTTCATTCATTGGCCCATGATGATTACACAGAGGTATCTGGTTTACTTTCACTAAGTCAGTCATGCAGGTAATAAAAGAGATATAAAAAATGAAAGTCTGAAAGAGTGCAGTATGGGATTGGGATGAGAAAGAAAGAGAGTATGGAATATGAAAGGAAGGAAAAGAGGAGCAAAGATGGCAATAGCAGATGGAAAAAAAAATAAGTAGAAGAGAGAGCGAGATAAAGATGATAATGCGGTGTGGAAGAGAGAGGGAAACAAAGAGATAAGACAGAAGGAAGAGAGAAGATAAAAATGTCAAAAAGGTGTAACTAAAGTGAAGAAGAGAATAAAAAAAGGTTGAAAATCAATGTGAAATTAGAGAAGGGGAGAGAGAGAAAATGGAAAGTAAGGATTAAAAGGAGGAGGAAAAGGATAAAAGAGGAAAATAGAAAGAAGGTAGATGCAAAGAAGGTGGGGGATAGGACAAATGGGAGAGGAATCTGTTTGTGAATATTAGATTTCAATAAGAAAAAAATCAATAGGAGTCATGTACACTGAGAGTAATGGAATTCTGTCAAGGAAAAAAAAAAAAAAAAAAAAAAAAAAAAGAGGACAATTCTTGGGAAATTGCTTTGGTTATAGGTGATTATGTCTGATAATAGCTATTTATAAGCTATAGAAGAGATTTCCAACATGTTTATGGTGAAAGAATTCAGCTGACTTTATAGCAAAGAAAGGAAAGTGTTGTGTATGTCATAAGTAATGGCTGTTCGCTTGTCTCCGAGGATGCCCATCTACTAGGGCAGCTAACCAAACTCTGTTGCAGACGCCTGCTCAGGCACATATGTGTTTGTTCAAAACCACAGAGCCTACCTGCAACCATGCTGAGCAGATCTTAGTTACAGTTTCAGGGAGAGATCAACAGTCTGAAAAAGACCAGCACACTCAAACTCTTGGTCACAATGACTTGTGACTTTATGCTAGCACAACTATCGACAGCTCTCCAAGAAGTTACACCTACCCAATTCCATTCATAAGGTTTGGGTCAATATATATATATATATATATATATATTATATATATATATATATATATATATATATATATATAGCTTCTATTTAGTTAGAACTAATTAAATTTAAATCTCTTATTGGAAAACCCACTACATCAAACTTATACTAACCTTTCTCAGGTCAGTATGAGCTCTGTTTTTGTTTTGAGAAATCCTGATCACATGATACAACCCATCCATTCCAAACTTCCAAAGCATCCACTGAAGAATATTACTAGTTGATAACTTTTGCCCATTTTGTCCTGACAGATGCAGAGGGCCCCATGCTTTTATATACCATAGAATATTTAATGTTTCTATGGTATATAAAAGCAGCTGGAGAGGTAGCAGTGGTGGGGGTAATTTTTCAGCCCAACCCACTTCCCAAAAATATGATTAAATGAGCAAACGGATTTCTTTTAATCAATTCTTGGTTGGGCAAACTTTTCAACAATACCTCCCCCAAATCATGTTTATGTATGTGTAGATGTGATACAAAATGTTCTCTTGTACTAAGCTGTCTTTCCTTTTATGACATTCAAGATTAATGATTTTGTTTAATCAGGAACATTTCAAGGCCAAAGTTCATTAAAGTTGAATAACTCCAACTAGAATGGATAAAAAATAAAAATAAAAGTAATGCTCAAAGCAGAGAGAAAAAAAAAAAAAAAAAAAAAAAAAACAACAACTTTGAATTTTCAGTTTTCTTATAAGAAAAAAATAATTTATAATTTGATTTTACAAGATTTATGAGTAAAAGACAAAGTTATTTTAAAATTAGCTCCTCTGGATGATATCCCAGGCCTAATTTGACTGATCATTAAAGTTTTCAACATCCAGATACAGGATAGCATTTTTACAGCTGATAAAGTTATGACCATTGCCTTTTGATAACAATGCATATTATTTGACAAGATGATTTTTCCCTTCATTTTCACCTCCACAACATGACGATTTCAATCAAATAAGAATTTTTGAACCTTCTTACAAAAAAAAAAAAAAAAAAAAAAACCAGCTATAACAGATATCACATAGAACAATGTAATAATTTGCATAGATGAAAACAAAAATTTATAAAATTTCAAAATATATGTATTTTTTTTTTATACAATGCACAAATAGTAATTTCTTTCCCCATAAAAAGATGTTACAATATATGTTTGGCTGAATAATCTAGACAGCCAAACATGCTTGAATGAAGATATGCTACACACACACACACACACTACTGAATAACCATCCACAATTTTAAGATTACCTTTGTTTTCTATGGGGTTTAATGTAAATCTCAGAGAGTAATATTAAAGTTAGTAAACAATAAATGATTAGTAATAAGAGACAAAAAAAAAAACTTGAACAATGTTGGTAATCAAAAGTTAACAAACAAGAATCATTATTGATTTTTAATCATAATGTTCTAAAGGTAAAAAAAAAAAAAAATTTGGTTGTTACCTGCAAGGATATTTTTCAGGTTACTTTTTCCTTTGTTCAAAAATTCTCTAATGAACAAAAGCAATGAAAAATGTTGTCATTCCATTGTCTTATATAGACAAGATATTTAAATTTTTATACATATTCCAGTCAGAGAAAACCCAAATTACAGTATTTAAAACTGTATAGCACAAAATACACCACTGATTTTTTAGTATGGCTTTTTTTTTTTTTTTTTTTTTTTTGAGAAGAATTGGCTTAAAAGGGAAATGAAACAGGATTAATTAAAATCAATCTAAATTCTATTGTGAAAAAATCTGTCATGAAGATTGAATCAAGATGATTGCTAGTTGTTGATTAAAGTATATAGGTAATTAGGTTTTACACCCTTTTCAATGGATATGGATGCAATTTGAATTGATACTAATGAAAAGCAACAAAATAACTATATACCCATTCCACTTGTTTACTTCATACTTGCCACGATGAAATGATCTCAGGTGAAAGTTGACAGTTTAAGAATTATTGTATTTACAGCAGGTATTGAGGAAACATTTTTGTCCCCATTGAAATCAAGTCTCAAAATTTACAGTGTTCTAAGGATTACTTTTTCATAGCTCTATCCTAATTAATTTAATGTTTACTCGTTTTTGTTTTTAAAATTTCGCAAGTCCCTCAATTCATTGAAATATAGTAACTTTATCTTGCAGAAAACCCACATATAGATTCAATAGTGACCAATTGATGATAGATGTGTGTAGGAGTGATAATTAAAACAAAATGGCAATGCAAATTCAGTTCTGATGATATGACTAAAGCACAAAGATAAAATTGGAGTAAAATGTGTTGAATCAGTTCATAACAGTTCAGAAAGATCTGTACAAAAACTAAGAGAAATTTTCTATAAACAATTAAAGAAGGGAATTGTGGTCTGAAAACATTCATATATCTCATCATACAATTATGAGCTTAAAAATACAAAGTTAAAAAGCTTAAATATTTACGGTTCATCTTCAGTATTATTTTTTTATGGTTGTTTAAAGTCAAAATGTACCAACTTGATAGATCCATAAACCAAAATGCCCAAAGGTTTTTAATTTCATAGTTCTTCTATATTGTGTATCCTTACAGGATGTGGGCGATCATGGTTCCCACAAACAAATTCCTCTCCTTTGTAACTCTTAGTAAGGTATATCTTTTTTTTTTTTTTATCACCACCTAATCCCTGTTCTGCCAACGATTTCCACAAGCTCATTAGGAAGGTTATTCGCTGCTTTACTCTGTTTCTCCTGACTTCAATAGTGTCATATTCTTTAGGTTTTGTGTGCCCTAGAAATGTCAACTGTTTCTTTCTTAGTCTCCTTTTTGTTCCATTTTCCTTGTATTGTCAAAATAAAAATAAATCACAAAAAAACCTATTTGTAGCGATATTTTTTCTAATGCAATGTATCCAATCAAGTTGTTACTTAAATACAAAAAATTACTAAGCTGTGCAAAAATGAATTTCTGGTAATTTCTTAAAATTAAGTAAGTGGTGAATGGTGGTTCAACAGATGAAAAAAAAAAAAAAAAAAAAAAGATTTTTACCAAGATTTTGTAAAACAAAACAAAAAAAAAAATTTCTAAAATGATTTCATTAATTTGTGAATAAGTCCTGAAAGTTTCATTAAAATCCGAAGTGTGAAGAAGTTACTGCTAACAAAAAAAAAAAAACAAATTAACAATATACATTTTTTTTTTTTTTTATTTGTCAGCTTACTTTTTTTAGTTTAGCTTTAGGTTCAAACCGAAATTGTAGTACAAATAAAATAATAAAACTATAAAATTAATAGGATGAAATCCATACTTAAACATTACACTTTGACTATAACAGTTACAGTGATGACATTAGGATTTTTTTAAGAAAAAAATCTGTTTTAGTTTGTAAAAAACAAAGTACTGTAAACAGTAAACTAAACACATGGTAGTGAAGTGTCAAGGCCAGAGATAGTTTAAGTTACCCCTTCCTACTGTTTCCAAAAAATTAAAAGAAAATGTTTTTTTGGTGATTAATTTATTGAAATAAGAAGATTTAAATACCTAAAGTTTAAAGTGACGACATAACCAAATTTACATTGATGAGTTTACTTTTTCAAATCTACTCTCTTTGACAAATTAAAACGAAGTAAATCTTGACTTTTTTTTTTTTTGTTATTTGTTCAACAATTTAAAAAGGTAAAAAAAAAAAAAAAAAAGCATATTGTCCAATAAATTTTTTAAAAAAAAGTTAAAATTTAGTTTATCAATAACACAAAAGTCCCAGTTCGGGTGAGAAGTAACAATATGAATAATTAAAGAATGAATTAAAGAACGGAAAAAAACAAAAATATGAATTTGAATCAGTAGAGAAAAATGTCTTATGTAGTTTTGAGTTTGACATAATTACTTAATTAAGGAGTGAAATGTAATTTTGATTCACTATTTATGCGTGTTAATATGTACTCCCCCACTTTTTTTCTTTTTGTTTATTACTTGATAAATTATTGATACGCAACAAAAAATTTATTATGGCACCGTTTTTAAATAATTTCATATGACGTAGTTTTAAAATAAAGTGTGTGTGTGGGGGGGTGTAAACAGTGAATCATTTTTCCCGGAAACGAACATCTAAAATCCTCGAAAGTTCCTAATTAAAGTGAAGGATTCTATAAAAATAAAGGACCTCATTCCATTTCTCTTAAACAAAAATGGGTATCTTTATTGTTATTCAATTTAGGAGAATAGGAGTGTGTTTTCTACAAGAAATTACAAAAATATAATCAGATTTTAAGATGAGCGGCTGAACAAATTAAGAGTGAGCAGTAATTATTTTTCTTCTTAACAAAGTGACAAAAAAAAATCCAGAAAAAAATTGCAATATCCGTTAAAAAAAAAAAAAAAATTAAGTACAAAAAATAAAACAAAAAAAGCGAAAACAACATAACAATGTCAGCTTTTACGCGGAACAAAGCAACGGTACTTTAACAAAAAATAAATATATCCTTATTCGGAATAACAAAAACAATAAACGTAAAAAACATCTGGGAGGGAAAAATACGTATGGTGTGATCAGTATTCATTTTGAAAGTCTCACTTACAACTATAATATTTTCTACTTTTTTTTTTTAACTTTAATTTACAAGAAAAGACAATTTTTACCGAATCTGAAAATTCAAAAAATTTTGAAAAGGATCAACAAATAAATCTATGAAACTTCTTCGCTACCAAAATGAAAAATTCAATCCAACATTTATTTTACGATCAAGTGAAGAAAATACATTCTCTAACAGTAACACTAACAATGTTTTGATTACATATAAAAATCAGTAAACATTACAATTAATAATTATCAACTTAGAGTGGTATGTAAACATCGTTTTTTTCCAACAAAAAAAAAAAAAAAAAAAAAATCAACTTTATAGAAAATGCGCTATTTGGATTTTGCGAAACTACTTTTTTTAGTTTCGAAGAGAGTACCAAGCAAACAATTTTCGAAGAGTAGTCTTGTTGACATTTTCTTTAAAAATATCTAATGAAATTGGTTATCAAGAGTTTATTATTTTTATTAAATACAACAGTTTTAATATTTATTCTAATGATTTGACATTATTATCTTTAACCAAATACGTACATTACAAAACACGGTTTGATACTTTATGACGTCTCTAGTCATCCGTACATTAATATTTTTTCTCGGTTTTCTATGAATCGATTGAAATAATAAACACGAGGAATAAAAGTATATTTTACGAACATCTCTACTTAAATAAACAGAATATATATTTAAATTCATCTTCACGGTATTTGAAGACTGAGTAATTGCTTAAAATAGCGTTACCCATACAATCCAAGCATTATGACTTCAGCAGTCCATTACAACACAACACATTTTTTTTACAAGCCAAAACAAAAACACCCAAATTAAAGTTCACAGAACAGTAAGAAAGAAGATGCTGTTTTTAAAATGCCGAGTATAGAGAGATAGTTTGTTCCTTTTTCTTTTCATCCGTTAAAGGAATTTCTAGAAAATTCGAACCATACCGCTTTCAGAATCAATAATAGCATCCAAGTCGGCTATCAGTAATGGTTGTAGCTCGTCCGCCATATCTCATGTTTACCACTGCAATGATGACCCCTGGGTAATAAACACGTGACACGTTCAACATGCCGCATGATGAAACAAACAATGATGCAAGTTCAATGTTATGGTTTCAGGATCGTTGTTTGCTTTTTTTTTTTTCTTTCAGTAAATTTCATTTAAAGTTAAGATTATGCAGAAAGTAAACCAATTAAAGTGGATGTGAGATATTTTTAAAAAAGATTATCCCAAACTTAAAAAGCAAATTACTTTTAACTTTTTTAAAATGAAAAAAGAGAAACCGACCAGGCTTCTTCTTATTTCGGAAATACGATTTGGCTGGAGCGATTCATTTCATTTACATTATAATATTCAGTTGACTCATCCTGCTGCCGTGGCACAAATTTAAAATTGATTACGTTTTACTGATATTTTTGTCTTTTTTGTTTCGTATTTTTCTAAGCAAATTGTCAAAATCTCTCTAACTTACCTTTCAACCTTATTTAGTTCTCATGTGATCATGGCCAAATGAACGAATGCTGTTATATCTCTATCTCCCTCTCTCTCTCTCGATTACTAATTTCTTGCATTTGTTGATTGGCTCCGATGATTTTTACACGAAGAGTGTATCGACAACTGTCAACATTATCATCATTGGTTATGAAAGTGTTAGAAGGTGCGAGATGATTGTCTTGAACACCGAATTTGAAGGCTCACTGCATGCACTACAACGGATATCAAGAGAAATTCTCAACGCGATTTTCCAGTAATTTAGTTTTTGAATTTGGCGTTAACTTTTTTTTTTACTATTATTTTCAAAACCCCGTTAAACGAGGCTATAATTTTGCCCACAGAATTAATGTTGTCTAATCTCCATAAAACTATGGCAGAACGATAATTGTAACTTTTGTATTGACTTTTTAGTTTTTAGTTTACTTTAAATTAATTTGTAAAATTTCTTGGTAAGTTCGTAAATTGTAAAATTTATTCGAATTTAAATAAACATTTTCAAGAATTTTTTTTTTTAAATTTTGAAAAAGAATTTTCCCAAATTTAAGCTTATTGGTTCTAAAAAAAAAAAGTAAAAAACAAAATCATCAGGTGGTTTCAACTGACTTGTTTTTTCTTCACTTTTTTTTTTTTCAGTTTTTTTAGCAGAAAAAGAAATCTCAAACGAAATTTCTTTTCTATGGTGTTCTTTAGTTCTAAACCACAAGAAAAATTTTAAAACTATGTGTATTCAAGAAACTACAGTTAACGGGGTTTTGAAAATAATAGTAAAAAAAAGTTAAAACGCCAAATTCAAAAACTAAATTACTGGAAAATCAGCGTTGATAATTTCTCTTGATATCCGTTGTAGTGCATGCAGTGAGCCTTCAAATTCGGTGTTCAAGACAATTATCTTGCACCTTAACACTTTCATAACCAATGATGATAATGTTGACAGTTGTCGATATTGCAATCCGTTACGTCAAAGAAAATCTTTTACTAAGAAGCATGTTCTAGTGATAAAAAGAAGAAATGTATTTTAAGCGCAAACATTTTTTTAGCTTTTTAATTTCTTTTTCTGCACTAACAAAATAAATATTTTTGACGAAAAGATATTGTTACTAACAGGAACCTAATTTCTTTTTCACATTAACGATCTATGAGATAGAGGGCACAAATGAAAAGATTAAAAATTGATATAAGGCTTTCCTATTTTTTCTATTTTCACTAAAACAGACGTTAGGTGCATGACAGCATTATCACATTCCCTGGCTTACCTTTCTTTTTTATCACTAACAAAAACAGCGTCTCTGATATATCCTTTTCTTGTCTCTCTCCTTTCAATCAAAATGGAATGGTTCGTTATTTATTTGAGACAATGGCAGTATATGAAATAAATACTTACCACAACCTTTATTTCTAGCAACACATATACAGCTTCAACCTATCCCCAAACTAAGGCTAACCAGAATTAAACAAAAGGGTCATGGATTTACTTTGTCCCTTGCAGCTAAATCAAGAAATTGTGGGCAGGCTATTACATGGTGTAACACACATGTGACAGAAATACCTCCCACACCCTGTACAATGATCTACTTGTATTAGTGAATTCTTCCTAGTTGTCATAGTTACTGTGTCTCTGTTGTTATACTCTTTGAGTATCTGTCATGGCTAATAAGCTTCTGGAAATTTCTAACAGTCTCCTTTATTCAATCTACAGAGGATAGATTGTTCTCATTCCATTGTCCAAGTCAAAGAACATCTTGTATTATTTATTTTTTAAGTTAATTCAGACTTGTAATATCCTAAGGGAAACATGGCCTAGTGATTAAGAAGCCATTAGTAAAGTGGATCTATGGTCATGAAACCAATCTTTGGACTGAATTGTGCAAAAAAAAATCTATATAATAGAAAAACCCTAATCATGTATATATGTGTGTTCCCGAGATACAGCTTGAATGATACATAATAACCCAACCAATTTAGGAGCATAATGTAACTTGATCCCTTGCCAAGTGCACTTCCAAATTTCATTAAAATTAGACAGGGGTTTCTTGAACTAGGGCTGCTTTTCTGTTTTTGTATCATTTTTAATAGGAAATTCAGTATTTGTTTTTGATACACATTCTTATATCAATCCATGTATATAAACAAACACTTTCATACCCAACTATCATGTGTGTGAAAAATAATAAACATGCATAATACATTATAACAGCATTATTAAATAAATTTAAATAGATACAACACAACATATATTTATACAATTCAATACACTACATTAGAACTTTTTTTATAAACAAATATCTTGGATGTTTGGCAAGTACTTGATAGAAGACACTGTGTGGGTGTACCATTGTAAAACATAAGCTATATGGCTGGAAAATTGTGCCACATGGCTTGATGATAAATAAATAAATAGATGCATACTGGTTTGCTGCTGATGCATATTTTGAAATAAATGTGAGGAAGTAACATGTAATTATTATTTTGAAAAGATTATCCCCAAAAAATGAGACTAAGTGTACAAAAAGGAGGCATCTATACTTTGTTTTTTCAATAAATATATCTTCTTAAGCAGTCTTTTTTGGGAGGGGTAATGACCTTCACCTTTGAAAATTATAATATTAATTACATTATAAAAAATAAAAAACTTCAACAAGATTGTTTACTCACTTTTGTTATGTTTTGTTTTTATTGTGTAGACATCATGTGTATATTTTATGGTGTTGGTGTTTATGTATCAAGTATCAATTTTCAAATTGTCTCTAGTTTTTGCTGGTTGTGTGGATTTCATATTCATGCCTTATAGTGTTTTGTGTTTATGTTTAATTCTTGAAATAATAATGCAATTTAAGTGTGTATTAAAAATTTAATTGCATATTTTAATTGTATGATAACTGATGAATGTTAGAACTGAATATGCAAGACTAGGTTATATCAGCTGCCGAGAGAAGCTGTGGATAAGTGAATGACAAAAAAAACTGAAAGCATTTTAATGACACATTTCATTCTGAGAAGGAACTTCTTCAGACTAATAAACACCTCCACTATCCTAACTGGTTTCTGTTAAATCACTGAAGTTAAGCAGTGTCAAAAGTGGTTGGTATTTAGATGGAGGACCAATTGGGAAAATTTGGTACTATAAGCAACCACCTACAATTTGAAATATGTTTCCACATGAAATAACCCACAAAGGGTTGATAAGCCATAAAAAATAAATCACTCAATTAACCAATATCCTAATTATTTCATAGATAACAAAAAGAAGAAAGCTTACAAAAACAAAAAGGAAAATAACTTTGATAAAGCTGGGCACATAATGCTACTGTTGTAATGTTGCCTGTGTTCAAAATAGGCGAGAATTAAGAAGGTTGTTGTTAGAAAGAGTATCAAAAGAACAGAAGACTAGGTAGAGGAAATTAAATGCTCATACATCAAATGGAAATACTTGAGTAAATCAAATCCTACTTAAATCCTCCTTTAATGTGGCTACTTGCTATATTTATAAGTAGGAGCAGTCCATTGTCACAGTAGTGGGGAAGAGCAGGAAATACACTGAGTTCTACTCTACACCAACTACCTACCAACTTAATAACTACAATTGAAAAGACTTTATCAGAACTTTTATATTATATATATATATATATATATATATATATATATATATATATATATATATATATATATAAAAATTTGTCACTATTTCAAAAACAATAAGGGATTTCATCAACAGAAGATAAAATTAAGCTGTAAGCAGGAATTTACAAAATGGACCTAAAAAATGCATAGATGAGACATCTCAGAATTTAAATAAAAAGGATTTTTTACAAAACAATACCTTAATGCATTAGTCATTCATCATAACATGTGTGAACATAATTTCAACTTAAAGAATGCAGTTTTGATTAAAAGAGAAATTTATTAAGGCAAAAATATATTGAAAGTGCACTCATTTCTGAATCCTCTAAAGTAAATTTACATCCAAGATCGTACAATATATCTCCATTCCTCATTAAACTACTGTTGATAAAATGAATGATAATTAATAACAATTAAAATAAAAACAAAAGCAATAAAAAGCTGAATGAAATTAGCTAATTTAAAAATCTAGAAACGTTAAAATTTAAATCTAAAGCTGAGTGTGTTAACATTTTTTAACACTTTGATATTTACTGTAACTAACATTTGACGTATTATTCCTTCACCATCTATATATAAGACTCATTCCATTAATAAATTCATATTACTATTAGTCTGAAGATGTTCCTTCTTGGAACAAAACATGTCACTTAGAATTTTTTCCATGTTATCATTCATTATATATATATGTGTGTGTGTGTGCATGAAAGATTTTTCAGAGTTAACCTGTAGAAAAAGACAATATATATAAAGGTAAAAGACAATAGGAAAACTGTACTATTAGCTGACACATTTCATCCAATGTGGACTTTTTCAAGGCAAAAACGAAATTGTTTTCAATAAATTCATTTTGTTTTTAGCCTTCAAAAAGTCCACATTGGACAAAATATGCCAGTGAATAATAGTCTTCTTATTCTTTTACCCCACTGTATATACCAGTGTACAAGGCAACTGGGTGTATAGGTGTATTTCAAGTTAAAATATAGGTTTCAGGCTATATTCAACACACAAGATGACCCCCCCCACACACACCAACAAATCATATTTTAAAATATATTGAATCTACTACATAAATTCAGTAAGCATAGACTTTCTTCTCACTCAAATTCTAATGAAAAATGGTGGGGAGATATTGTCACTTAAGTACCACAATCTACAATACCTCATGAATGGATGCTATGTTTTCAGTAGGCTATTCATGATAACCTGAATGAATTTTCCCCACTAACCATCCATTCGTTCCACTGTTCTTGAATGCAATCTTTACATGGCTTATTGAGACACATATCCAATTGGGTTTTTGTTCAACATCATCAAAAAAAGGAGGTGAGGCAAGAGTTAGCCTACTGTCAAAGATCTCCACAGGGAACCTTAAATCATGTCATTTATGGTAAGTTGTTAACTTACTATAAATCACAGGATTTAAGATTCACATTTTATACCTGGAGTATAAGACAGACTCCCTATTTGGAGGGGGGAATTTTTAAGGTTATCTTGCGTACTGACATATACAGTGTGTGTGTGTGTATATATATATATATATATATATATATATATACATACACACACACACACACACATATATATATACATGTAAGAAATTACTTGTAAGTTAGAAAGTTTATAGTGATAGAGACTCTGAATATCAACAACCATAATCCAGTGACAAAAATGATGAAGATGACTAGTGATAGCTTCAGTTGCATGTTTTTAATTTAGAGTTTTCCTTCTTTTAGACCAGTTGTCACCCAATGTGTGTGCATGTATAACATGAATTTATGAAAAGCTAAGAATCAATAAATTCTTCTAAGGGCATGGCCCTTCAGGACGGTGGCAATCATGGCTCTCCACAATTTCCTGTCCTTCATAATTCTTAATAAATTTTGTCTTTTTGCTATCTCTCCCAAACCCTGCTGTCATCCATTTACTCAAGCTCACTAGGTAGGTTATGTGTTGCTTTCCTCTATCTCTCTTGCCTTCAATCTGTCCAGTAAGTATCAAATTTTCAAAACCATCTTTCCTCACTATGTGCCCTGGAAATTCAACTATCTCTTTCTGATGTTAAGTATGTGTCCTTTTTGTTTCCATTGTCTCCAGAACTTCATCATATTTGGTCTATATCCTCAGCATCCTTCTGTAGAACAGCATTTTTGTTGCTTCAAGTTTCTCCTTCATCTGTGAGCAGATTAATAAGTTACTTACAGAATAAAATTGGAAGTAGAAAATCTTTTATTGTAAATACCTGCTTAAACATTTATATCTCTTGTACAATGATATACGAGGGAGCATTGAAAGGATGTGGGCCTGGCCTAGAAGGTATTTAAAAATCAAATTTTGATGTTTAATCATTTGGTCAGACTTTGAGAAGCACTTTTCAGCATCCCCTCAAAAGAACAATTTTGAAGATATAGAATTCAATAGTAGAGCAAGATGCTGCAGGGAGTAATGTGAAAGTCTGTGACAGAGGATAGGACACTGATGAATGCAAATTCATCAACAACAGAGAAAAATTTATTTCAAATCAGGTAAGAATAAAACAAAGAAAAAAACAATGTACAGAAATATTTTATGAATAATTTAATAAAATTATATCAACAATAATAGGATAATAGTGAAGTGTACAGAGAGGAGCATAGTTGAAAAGGAAATATTCCTGAGAGGGTTTGAAAAAAAATCACATCAAATCAAGATTTCAAGAAAGAAGTCCAGGCATTGTTGGATTTTTTCTTCTCAAAATGGAGTTTATCATTTCTGATTAAAATAGAAATTCATTTCATTCAAATCATTCACTTCAATCCATAGAGTTTAGCCAATGCAGTAATTTGATTTTCATCAAGATCTGGAACTTTCTGTAATTCACTGAATAAATCTTTAATAACTGAAAAGAAAAAGAAATATTTAATATTTACTGTACAAAATAATTTAACATTTTTGTACCTCTAAGACAATAAGTCATTAAAATAAATTTTTATGAAATTTTACATGTGATGATTCAAAATTTTAAAAAAAGTTGCTTCCAATTCTGCTGTTAAAACTTGTGAAATCTTAATGTTGTCATTGGTTGGGTAGATATTTTGTTGATTATATCTAACAATCTATCTATCCAACAAAAATTTTATCTACCACACTGACAACATTTTCTTGATAACAACTGAAATGGTCAAAAGTACTTGAACAAAATATGGACTTCAGACAGTTTACACACAATTTTGAACCTGATATTAAAAAATTAAAAATATGCCAAATAAAATTCAAACAGAGGCCTTGTTAGTTGAATTTAACAAAGTCGTCGTCATAGGCACCTGCTTGCATCTGAGCACTGAGATCGTCATCCTCTCTCCTTATTTCCTTTCTTCCTTCTGGTGGTGGTGACGGAGATGGATGTGAAGGTGTAGCCTACTCCTGAAGAATCATGAACAGGAGTCACAAAGGAGTGTGAGTGGTGGACACAGCTGGATGAGTCAGGCTCTCCTGACAACATGTCACAGATCCTCTTCATGTTGATAGTTGGGCAAAAAAGTCTTGGTCCAGGAGGGCTGATTTGCAGCAACGGTTTCCCAGGTCTCAACCTCAATGTTGGCCTGTGTCAGGGATGTTTTAACAAAACACACACATGTGTGTGTGTGTGTTGAGTTCAATAAGTAGAATAGGATTTATACATCAACTTCAGTTTCTCTTCTAAGGCCACTATAGCATAACTGGTAGATTTCTTTTAGAGTACTGATTGAAGTTAGTAGCTACAATTTCAAACTAATTCATTGATGCTCTTTTATCAATTCAGGTTGATTTTGCCTTTCCCATTTGAGAGACTACTTTTAAAATTGGACAGCCAAATCTAATATGAATTCAAATGAAAATATAGCAAAATATGGGTTATCTATAAAACTGGATAAGTTGTTAACAGTTATATGTTTTAACACTTCACAACATGACTGCTAATCATGGCTAATCAGTCTCTTCCTGTTAACATTTTACTTAGTACCACAGATTTTACAAGAAAATAGTATAAACAAAGTCATATAGTATAAAACTGTTATGGTGAAACACACCTATTCTATAGTTAATAGACTCTCCCACCTAATATAAGTAGGAGTAGTAAGAGAAATGAGGGTCAGTCGATGTTGGACAACAGTTAGTCGAATATGAAAGTAGTCAGCGACCAAAACAAGATTACTCTGCGTAATACCTATTATATCAAGTTCCTAACGTTTTTTACATCGAACTAGTTAGGACCGATTTAGTACAAATACAAGCCTCCACTGCGAAATAACTCCACAACAAAAACGTTCTTAAATTATAATAAAAGGATTTGGGTTATTTACCTTTTGTTTCTGTAGGAGATAAAAACATAATTGCCATTTGGAATCTATTTACTTTAGACAGGTGTGTAAGATGTTCTATAACCAGTTTACCATCTCTGGAAATATAAGAAAGAATATTTATACAAGAGTCAACATATTTAAACTATTGATATCCAATAAATACCACAAGCTCTTCCATATTATTGGTGCTATCAAGACATTTATCAGAAAATAAGTTGAAAGAGATGCAAAGTCTGTAAAAGTAGCATACCAAAAATTCTAGAAACTATTTTTCAGTAGAATTTTTATATTCTCTAATCCAACTGTGAAAGGAATCCTATTTTTACCTTTATAAAATGGTAATCAATATATACACTTGAATACGTTTGAAATCAAAATATATTTTATATATATATATATATATATATATATATATATACTATTTTAAGATGAGAAATTATTTCTGATAACATTCTAAGAGTTTTGACTTTAACCGAATCTGTAAATTTCCCAACAGCAGTAAACTTCCAAACATTGTGTGGTGGCAGCAACACCACCACACAATGTGGTGCTTCTGTGATCTTAGTCAAAAGTAGATTTTAAAGAGTTGTGTTGCTAGCCTAACACTCAAATCCTAACACATTTGGTGTTTATAGTTGTCTTTGACCAATATAAGTACATATAGGATTTTTTTTTTAAATTTGTTTTGCTTTTTATTAAACTGTAACAAAAGTAAAAAAAAAAAATCCAATGCAATCTGCCTTGCAAGCATACGTTTGTGTATTGGGTTGACCAGAATTGCCTGTATTGTCAGATACTTTTAAGTGCATTTAGTTTTAACTACATTCAAAAAGATAATTTTTAACTGTATTGTGACAGCTGTCATTTAGGCATGCATTTGTTTTTAAATATTAAAATTAGTGTATTTTTTTATTGATTTTTCACAATCAATGAAAGAAGTTGAAGGAAGAAAATAAGCAATGTCTTTTTGCATATGCTTTATTTTTTTTTAGAAAGGTAAAAATGCTGCTCAAATGCTCCTTAGAAAAAAACAAAACAAACATTTATGCAATTTACTAAGAGAATGTGAATAAACAAACATATCAAAATCAGTTTGCAAAGTTTTGTGCTGCAGGTCTACACTTGAGTAGACTAGTTGAGATTGACAGGAATCATATGAAGGCTTTATGTGAGAATAATCAATGTTATACAATACAAGAGATAACCAAGACTGGAAATAGCCAAATCAAGTAAGGAAAAACATTTGCATCAACTGACTCATTTTAATTGCTTTAATAACTAGAGAAAAAACTGATTGCATTTCTATATGATTTACTACTAAAATGTGACAAAACTCTTTAAAAACAGGCAATGATAAGTGGATGGAACATGATTGTAAAACAAGTGAAATGAACCACTACAGACCATATCAAATGTTACTACTGTTTATATAGTTCTCTACTATTAGCTCCATTTTTAGAGAATCAAACATGTCTCTGGTTTTTCAGGCTATACTTGTACCACTATGAAATGATTTCAATAATTTGGGCAATCACTATATTACACACAACTGCACATATTTTAATAACAAGTCAATATGTCATTTTCTTTTATTCACAGTAAGCTTTATATTTTGCAGAAAATATTCATTTCTCTAAAAGAAACCTAGTTATTTTGCAAAAAAAGTGTTTCTGCTGATGGCATTGTCGGAGTTAGCTCCTCCTTATCTCCTTAACCCTTTCACCAGGAGTCTCTCTTCCCTGGCTATAAATACTCGCTGACCCTTCGCCTCTTCCTCTTTTTCCTCAGGCTTTCAGTCTTACCACCTCGCAGATGTGAACACTCAGATACAGCGTTTCCCAAATGCTGGGAACACGCTAAGAACAATACACATACATATGAACACTCACCACAACATACACACATATAATATTCACCACACGCACTCTGTCCATCTAAATGTCCATGTAACTTGTAACCTTTCTTGTTATTAATACATATATTTGTTTACATACATTTATTGGTCTTGTGTTTGCCAATGCAGTCTTCAAAGGCAACTCACCATCCTTTATCTCATTCTGCAATGATGCGACTCGAATGAACGAAGAATTTGCGAGAACGATATTATATTGTCAATAATACCGAATTTTCTCAAACATGTATTCAACACTCGGTAGAAATTCAGTTCAACTTCATGACTACGCTGCTTCTATTAACTTTTGTGCACCAATTATATCCACACATACCACACCAACCCCCTCATTTTTCAAACAAAACTACAACCAGGCCAGCAAACAGGTGGACAGATCGACACAGCCAATTCAACGTGGAGCATTGAAAAAAAGACAAATTTTGATAGCAAATGCAGACCGCTACTGACGTTTTTTACAGGATGTGCCCCAACTCTCACTCACTAGAGAAGTACACAGCACCCTGACGACAACACAAGCATATTTCGTCAAATCACACATATCAACCACACTTCTGACACATTTTCTTTTCAGTTCACAAGGACAATATTCAAAACTTTCATGAACCTTTTTCTTACATATTAAAAGTTTTCATTTCCTTACAACTTTTAATCTGGTGGGAGGTATTGTTGGAGTTAGCTCCTCCTTAGCTCCTTAACCCTTTCACCAGGGGTCTCTCTTCCCTGGTTATAAATACTCGCTGACCCTTCGCCTCTTCCTCTTTTTCCTCAGGCTTTCAGCCTTACCAACTCGCAGATGTGAACGCTCACAGATACAGTGTTTCCCAAATGATGGGAACACGCTAAGCACAATACATGTATGTATGAACACTCACCACAACACAACACACACACACATAATATTCACCACACACACTCTGTCCATGTAACTTGTAACCTTTCTTGTTATTAATACATATATTTGTTTACATATATTTATTGGTCTTGTGTTTGTTTTTCTTTGCCTTCTTTGGACTTAATTAAAGTCTAACTTTCTCATGTAGTTGGACCAGCTAGCAGGAAACTTTTAACCCACATGTGTATTCTTCTACTTCTACTCAACAACATCGCCGACACGGTCCTCTACAGCATCTTTTAAATTTATATCTTGATATTAAAAGTGATTTGCTCAAGTATAAAACCTTACCATCACTAAACTTGATGATTAGAAAGAACTTCCTACCTTTTGGTACATCAACGTCAGTTAGGCAAGAATTGGTTATTCATCTTTGTATATATTACTTAGTCTAATATAAGTGTCACAGAGCGGTGGTTAACAAGCTAGTTACTCGGGGCCTTATAAGCTAAGAAAATATCTATACAGTTATCTGGTGAATATTAAAAACTTGCAAAATGAATCTTTCTATATAAAATTGTATTTTGTTGCAAACATACATATTTGTGGTAGAACAGTGTTCATTTAAAATTCAATGATTCAAATTAGTAAGATAAATTAGAATACAATTGCAGCAACAATATTTAAAATGGCCTATTTTTAATGTATTAACTTGAAATTCTAAAAATAAAAAAAATTAAAAAAATGATTGGATTTTTATTTATAATCTAACATTATTAGTATAAATGTTATATTTAGCAGATAAACAGGTTACTCAAACGTGTGTATCCATGAAATATAATTTTATAGCAATAAAAAATAATGTTAATTTATAAATAAAAACCCATTAATTCCTTAGAAATTACTTTGTTTTGGATATAAAAATAAAGTTAGTAGACATGGGCTTCAAAAGATGAGAGATGTGTTTTCCTTCAAAAGGATAACTGAATCTTGCTTTGTCATGAAAGACTTTGTGGCTGAGCAGTCTAAAAGCATGCTGGGGCATATGGTGGTTTCTCCTACATAAGGAGGACACAGGTTCAAACCCCACTGAAGGGCATATTTTCTTTATTAAAGAAACTTGAAAAACTAAGATGGTAGACAACAATGACACTGTTTAAAAAACAGAGATGTCTACTCATGTGTATCTACTAAATATAACATTTATAGTAATAAGTGTGTGTGTATATATATATATATTAAGATAAAGAAAAAATAGGAAATGTTTATCACCCTAACATGTTTCTCTTTTATTAAAGCTTCATCAGAGAATGAGATATAGAATAAAAAGAAAGAAAGAAATCCTGGTATTTTTATTTTTGTGTTGTTTCATTTTTATTGGTTAATCAGGTTTCATGTGCATTTGACTTGTTAAACAAACATTAATATAATTTATGGTGTTCTGAATTCAATGACAGACTGTGTCTGTTCAAAGTTCCAAGAAATTAACAAATTCTAAGCCTAACTGAAAAAATGTAAATATTGCTTTTTGTATGTAAGTGTATATATGATCTGTATTTGATCCCATATATATATATATATATATATGTTCAAAGAAAATATAAATAGCTTAACAGAAATTATTTCAGGTACTAGTTTCTTATAAAATATACATTATGCTGAAGAAGTAGATAAACTTTCTGCAACATGTGTTATAAATAAAGAGAAAACTATTCTTTACCAGCAAGTTTTGTCCTTTATTGGACTTCATTTGCCTTGATAGAGTTCATCAGAGAACAAAACACATTGGTAAAGAATAGTTTTCTTTTTTGTCTTTATTCATAGTCTTTTTAGAGATATATTTTTTATTTATACCGGAATTTTTACACGTGTTATGTTTGCCCAATTTTCATCACTGAAAGCATTTCTATTGTCGGGTTTTACGAATAGTGAATCAAGCATTTTGAAATGATGTGTATTGATTAGGATTTACAAAAAAAATATTCAACACTGACAACCTATAGAATAATAAAGTAAAAAAAATATAGTTTTACTTACGGTAGAAATGAAGTTTTTAAACAGGAACAAATCATAGTAACCATTTCAGAATCCACAAACTCACTAACCAATTGTGGATACTGTTCAGGCGAGATTCTCTGGAAGGGATGAAAGACAGAAAAAAGAACAAAAGATGTAATTCTAGATAAACTAAATGTATACTATGTATAAGTTGGCCCTTTCAAAGTTGATAATGGGGTAGCAACATTTTTTACCAGCTATTTCTAATTGTATGATACTTATTAGATAGTGGTCTGCCAAAAGACTTCTTCATCAACAATTCTGGCAAGATATCTGGCAGTGAGTTATTGTTATTAAGTATTTACTAAAACAAACATCTTTCTTAAATGTGGCTTCACACCCTATATTCAATCTAGTGCAAGACATTTTTTAAATACTGTAACTGTTATCAGTGAACTAAATCCATTTTAATTCATTCAAAACTTTTTTAATGAAGAGTCCAGTTTTTGGGCTAATTTAATATCCATATGTATACACACACACACACACACAGGGTGTATAAAAAATACTTTTATAAACTTTTGGGGTGGGATCCTGACATCAAAACAAGGTAAAATGTTCATATAAATATATGCCACCCAAAAGGCCATCATTGTACCTCAACACAACAACTCATAACAAATTTTCAAGATGTCCTCCACTTTATTCTACAAACACATGCACCTATTGGATCATTGACTGGCGGACCCTTTCAAATACTCCCAAACGGTGATGAATAGTTTTGCAGGCCCCCATGACATGTTGATGAAGCATGGAACCAGTCCTCCCCTACTTATCCATCTTTCATGGTAGATGTTAGCCAGTGCATCGCTAACAATGTGACTAAAATGTGCTGGGGCCTCATCATGCATAAACCAAATGCAGGGGTATATCCTCTAGCAGATCTGGAAGTGTGTTTGAAATAAAGTCCCTGTAGACAGTTCCTTTAAGACGTGCTGAGAGAACATATGGACCTACCAGACAGTCATATACAATTTCAGCTCACACATTAATCATAAACTGATGCTGGTGTTTAGCCTGTATTGTACCATGGGGATTCTGATCCACCCACATATGTTGGTTGTGTAAATTTGTTATTCCATCTCTTCCAAATGTTGCCTGATCCATAAACAAGCCTGAAGAGACAAACAACGAATTGGCAATTTGTGCAATAAACCATTGGCAAAAGTTCTCCCATGGTGAGAGATCATAGGGTGAAAGACCCTGCACACATTGCAAATGATATGGATACAGGAGCTGGTCTTAAAGTACCCTCCATGCGTTACTATGAGATGCATGACATGCTAGGGCCACTTGATGTGTGATGATACCTGGATCATCTCTGATAGTCTGCAGAATGTGTTCTTCATGGTCATGTATGGGAGTGGATCTTGGTCTTCCTCAATCCATAGTTTGTGGTGCCACAGATCCTGTCTCAGCAACATGATAAGCAGTAGCAAAGGTTGGATGACTTGGCTACCTTCGGTCTGGAAATGCAATTTAATACAGCTGTGCAGCCTCATGTCCATTACCATTCACACGGCTGTATATAAAAATCATATCTGCCTACTCATGATATGAATATCCTGCCATTGTTAAACTAAACACTTCTCAGTAAACCCACTACTACACAAGTTAAACTTTGAAGACAGACTATCCACAAATGTACATGAATGACAAATGTAACCTAGTCTACATGGCAACACAGCACCATCTACCATAAACTTTCTTTAAACTTAACTCAAAAATGAAGGATTTGCAGATATCTGTTTATATAGACTTTTGTCCTTGTTTTGGTGAGAAATCTGCCCCCAAAGTTTGTAAAAAGTATTTTGATACACACACACACACACACATATATATATATATATATATATATATATATATATATATATATATATATATATATATACACAAGTCCATAATAAGCATTATATTAAAAAAAAATACTTAAAATATAAAAAAAACAGTTGGATACTTAATATAAATTTTCAACGGGATATATATTCATATAATGAGTTAAGATTTTTAAAAAAATGGCCCTTACCTTCAGATAACTGTACATTTCCTTAGGGTTTTTCTTAAAATGAGGCCAATAGTATTGTAACTGATCAGGCACTTCATCAGAATCAGGACCAATCTGTTGGTTGGAAACCAAACTTGGAATATGAGGGGAGGACAAGGATGGTGAGGACAATGAGGTTGAAGAAGGTGGTGTTAATACTGGAGACACTGCAGAGGGTTCATCTGGTTTTATCACACACACAGATTTTTCTTTTTTCTCTTCAATGACTGTACCTTGATTTGAAGAAGTTGTAGTGTCCTTGGATTGTACAAACTGTTCAAACAATTGATTATCACGAGTCACAAGATCTTTTTGTACCTCACTTCGTCCTTCTGTTATTTTGGCAATCTGTTCTCTTCTCTCAGTTCCATCGTCTTCAATTCCTGTTTCTTGAATCTCTAATCGCCTCAAGGGTTTCTGTAAAGAAAAACAATGTTTTAATTTAAAAAAAAAAAAAAAAAAATCAATTATACACTGGGCATAGATAACTATGTATATTATCTACTACTAGTAATAATATCATGGGTTGGAGTTCTTAAACAAATACATTGAAACCTTAATTCACCTGAATGGTTACATGCAAATTCTGACAACAGGTTGTTTAGGGAGAAAAATAATAATAATTAGCACCAACTACATTTTAATTCTGTATAGATAAACAAGGTTTGGTTTTTTTTTGGGTTTTTTTTGCTGCCCACTAACTTTTCCACGACTCTACCATTTCCTTGTTTCACTGTAATTGTTTTCAGTATCAACAATCTAAATAAGGGAAGAAGATTTGAGGATAAACAAATTCTTTACTTAAAATTTATTTTACCAAGTTTTGACAATCTATATTTTGTGTAATGAAGATCAAAATAAGTGATCTTTCATGGTCAGGAATTAATGGTAAGCATTAATAACTGAACAGAGGAATTATATGCATAATTACAGATTATAAACCCCCCACCCACCAACCATCTTTTAATGCTTCAAATGCTACCTTTTATCTTACAAATATGGCAAAAATAGATTATTTCAATCAATACTATGTGTTAGAAGCTGATAGCTATTAAAATTAAATTTAGGGTGTAAGCTCAGTGTATATATGTACCATTGAAAAGATCTCAGCGTGAATTTTGGCATGAGCTAAGGAAGTAGCATGTAAACTGAATGTTTTTCTATACTAGAAACAGTTGTAGGCTGCAGTGTAAAGGTAAAACCGAGGCATTTATTCATAAATGAAAGCACATGTTAAAAAAAAAAATATTACAAAATTTCATAGCCCCTTAAGTGTTGTGAAGAAGAAAATGATGACAACTCATCAATTGAAACACCTCTTCATTGAATTGTAAATATACACAACCCTTGTCCTTGCTTCCCACTGACTGGCCAATAATCATTCCACATTGCATTTTAGTCCTTGATTTTGTCAGTGTTCACTGAAAGCTGGGAAAGGGTGCAATGCATGCTCACAAGGTAACACAATGAAATAAACACTACCTCAAGAAATAAGAATGCAAACCCTGTAGGTTTTTTTTTTTTTATTCAGGGTTTTGCCTGCTAATCCAGGTGGATAGGTAGGTGATACTTGGGACAACTTCTGCTATGTTAGTTCTTCCCCGCAATTGACTACTCACCCATCTACTCATCCCAACGTGTTGGCTGGCAATATGAAATAGAGGCTTTGGAAGAGAAACACAAACATGTCTGTCTCCCGCCAAGGGCAGACCAGATGTATAACTGTTAATATAGACCAGTAGCTGGATATAACCTATTTCCGGTTTTGTTGTCACTTGATCCAAAAAAAATCTGACATCTACTCCTTTACTTCCCATGCCGCTTAGAAGATTGAACTTTAAAAGGAACTATCTACTGGTCCATCAAACAGAAACACTTGAAAACAAGATAAAGCCACCTCACCCCCTTTTATATAGATGTCCACAGTATGCTGCTAATTTTAAAAAGATAAACCAACAAGATGAAATTTATTATTATTATTATTATTACAAGCATGCAAGTTTTTTTTTAACAGCCAATGGTGAGTGTTTCAAACTCCTGTTCGTTATCAGAGGACAGTTAGCAGGTTGTGAGCTGTGTGAGTACAACCAATTGATTTTATGAACCTACATTTTCCGAGATCTGCTTTCTAGAACAAGTGTCTTAACTCAAAGGTATCAGACTAGTTTTAAAATAATATCAGGTATTTAACTACCTTTCCAGATAAAATATTCTCAAAAATATGGTTGGAGAGCAAACAATGACAGCAGTACCAAACCAAAAAAGATTTCTTTCAACATATATATTTGGGGATTTTCTTTTCCAACCTCATATAAATAAAAACACCTTTCTTCTGTGATATCTAGAAAGAATTAGACATCTCAAGCATATAATGCTTTTCTTCGTCAATAGCACTGGCTTTAGACGATTAAAAGAGGAAAGGAAATAATTAAAAGTTAAAAGAAATTCTACATGAAGAATTAATAAATGATCTGAGATTATTGAAAAAAAAATCATTTTTTTTAAATCACTAAAATCTAATTTGATTTGTTTAACATCATATGAATTCCTTATGGGTCATTTAATACCAAAATTTAATTTTATTGGGAGCTTTGAAGTAATAAAAATATGATATATGTTATTCTGCTTTCACAATTGAATACATGATAGATGATACTCAGCTATTGTGCATGTGCATGTTTGTGTGGACATAATTACAAGATGCAGTGATATATGTGTTTATCTTGAAGTTATATTTTGCAATACAATTTGATTTCTTTAAGAAATTGTAGGATATTATATGGATTAATGTCATGAAAGAGTTCTTTCATACTGATTGATGTATTGTTGGTAATTTCTTATATAAAAATGTATTGCTGGTATCTTTACTATAAAAAGGTATTTTTATACTTTCATAGTTTTGATTTTTTTTTTGAGTGTGTGTATGTGTGTGTGTGTGTGGGGGGGGTCACTATTTACTCATAGCTGGGGCCCTAACAAGTGTTACCATCCCAGGCCAGGGTGGACCTGGGAACAACAGCAATTAAGAGGTGCCTCCACACTCCTCAAAATCTCCAATCTTCCAATCGGAGGCCTTGCTGTCAGATATAGTTTATCATCATACCCAGAAATCTGACATGAAGGCTAATGACCAAAATTGCAGTGATATAAACTAACTAAAAAGCTAATAAGAAAAAGAAAAAAACTGTGGCAAATAAATAGAAAAAACAAAAATGTGGTTATCTACTAAATGGTTTGTAGTAAATAAGTAGCTAAAAGCATTAGTGAGAACTAATCTGATGGGGCCAACCTATATTATAGAATACTAGTACTAATAGATGCAATGTCTGGGGATAAAAGTCATACAGTTAAATAAAAAAAATATATGCTAGGTCACAAAAATCTCCTAAGCTGGCTAAGCGTAGAAATGAATACAATATGGGAACCGTTAACACGAAGTGCTAGAGAAAAGCAATAATAACAAAAATTGCAATATGAGCTCTGGTAAAAAAAATATACTGAAAAATTAAGTTTATAAGCTTCCAAAATTCAAGGAGACATGGCCCAGTGGATAAAAGTGTTGGTTGGATCCAGTGAGTTGACCCAAAGAGTTGTGAGTTAACTGGCTACCACAGTGATGAACAAAAACTTGGAGAGTTGAGTTAAAGAGAGATAACTGAGATACATAGAAGAGGCATGACATGTGGAACTAGAACAATCTATCCCGGTGGATGAAAAAGGGTTCAGTTCAAAATTTCAATCACCTGAAGAAGGCCGGAGCGTAAATATATGGCAACAAAGATGAGGACAACAGTCTGAACACTGTAAATAGTGTAAATATCTAAACCTTTTTGTTAATATTTTAAAATCACTGCCAGATGTAAATATGACTTCAATGATATCAGAATGGACACTTAGAAAGATCACTATGTTTGTAAGCAGTTTATACATGCAGACATCACAATGGGGAAAAATGAGATTGAGTGTGATTAGCTAGAAGAGAAAGAATAAAAGGTGTGACAATGAACACACAGTTACACCCATACAGTGCTGTGGTCATTCAAAAATGTTTGTTTAGCTACAGCTGATGCTGTCCTGCATTAAATTCTCAATCTGTACATCCATGGTCAAATTAGACAAATGATGCTAATTAACTTTTAGGTGTTACTCACCTTTGACCTCTCAGCAGGGCTTTTATCAATAGCATTCACAATTCCTTCTTCAACTTCAGCTGAGCCTGGTAACAGTTTCTGAAACAGATTAAAAGAATGAGTTTTATACAATAATTAAAATTAATTATATACAATATTTATGTATTTGTGTAGAGACATTTTTTGAAAAACTATGACTGATATTTGGTTAAACATTTATTTTTATATATAAATAATCTAATTTTTCAGGAAATTTTGGCAATGTGCAGTTAATACATTTTTTAAATGCAGAAATATCCAGAGATTCATTCTTATATTACTAACAGTAACACTACACATATACACAATTTACTTTCAGCATATATTATGTTAGTCAATCATTTGCCCTTTGGGAAAAATATGTATATAAATATATATATATATATATATATATATATATATATATATTAACAGTGTTTCAGTAAACCTAAATGAACATATTTTTAGATGAAAGATCTAATGAGAATTTATAAGTATTTAGTGCTAAAGCTACATAAAAAAAAATCTCACATTTTAAATTAGTTTTTATCTTAGGGCTTTATTTTAATAAAGCATACAAAAAAAGAGAGCTAATTAGGAATAACTGCAAATACAAAAAGTAATTATTTTACTTATAAATTTTTAGACAGTTCTTCTGCCAGATTTTTTGACAGACCCAAGTTGGTGACCAAGTATTATTGCACACATGAAGTATTCAACATGTAACAGTTTAAATATATTGAGATACAAACTAATGGAACTGTCATTATCTTTAAAATTTAAAAAAAAAAAAAAAAACTCAATAGAGAAGCACTTACTTGCAGTTTTTTTATTTCAGCACTGGCCATTTTGTTACCCGGCTCAAGATTCAGTACCTTTTCATAATCAGCAATGGCTTCTTCATATTTTTTCAGGCCACTTCTCGCTGTCGCTCGGCGAAGATAACCTTTCACATAGGTGGGATCTAAAGACAGGCAGCTGTAACAATCCTGTTCAGCAGCAGCAAATCTTTAAAAAAGAGGAAGAGCAAGGAATCAGACGTTTAAAAAGAGATACATAATAAAATTAAAAACTATATAAAGTTTGGAGGATCCTTAAAAAAAAAAAAAAAATGGTTCTTGTAGATTGTGAGTCCATAAGCTGTTGTAGCTTGTTCAGCTTATAACTGAATCCGTGATATTTTCTTGTGCATAATATGAGAAATTTTGAACAAAAATTAAAGGCAAAAAGGGGAATCATATTATACACAAGTACATGTTTTCAAAATTTTTATTCAGTTTAAAAAAACCTCTTATTTGAAACAAGATTGCAAATATATTCAGTTTTGCTCACAAGATAAAGTTTATTTATATCTTGATTTTCTTGTTTTTGTATAAAGTTTTCTCTCTTTATAAAAGACTATTTTTTCTTTATTTTCATAGTTTATTAATATATAGGAATATAATAAAGATATATAAAACAGAAAAGTATGATATCTGAGACATCTGGAAGAGGTAAAACACGTGGAACTAGAACAATCTACCCTGGTGGACAAAATAAAGGATTCAGTTCAAAATTCCAATCATCTGAAGAAGGGTGGAGCATACAATTGCGAATCATTGTGAATATAGCAATAAAGACAAGGACAACAATTTGAATAATGTAAATAAATTCTATGAAATTAAGTCTAAATAACAGAGAACCCCAATGGAGGATAAAACAGTTACAGAAGCCAGTACATATATTATGTTCAAGTCATTTAATCATGTATAATAAATACAATGATTTGTCAAAATTAGAAAAAAATAAACAAATATATTTCATTCTTTTTATGCATTGTATTCATTTTGGATGTTTTTAGTTAAAATTATCATATGGAAATTAAATCATTATACCCACTTTTCCTGTTTTAAAAGTGCCATGGCCCTATTTGCAAGGAGGAGGGCATTGGCAGGATCTAACTGGATTCCAAAACTGTAATGGTCAATAGCCATTGCATAATTTCCCAGCTTGAAGAATTCGTTGCCCTGTAAATAAACATAATTTATTAATTTTAGAATAAAAATTTGCTTTTGTTATTTAAATCTCATTTTCTACATTTATAAAACATGCATGCAGGGATTTTAAGAGTTGTTTGGATTATTGGACCCTTTTTTTTTTTTTTTAAACTATTTTTGCCTTCACACAAAATACTGAAAAAATTGCTGATCACAAGCTCAGTTGATTAGTATAATGACCACTATTATTACTGGATTCCCCTAGTTGAAGATAAAACAAAAAAAAGCATATTGTACACATGAAGAAGAGTGTAGAATGGATTGGTTGACATGTGAATTAAATTCTGAAAAACTCTTGAAATGATAATTACTCTTCTCAAAGTAGAAAGAATACATTGAGAGATTTATTTATAATTTAGACATTTTAGAATCAAAACAAGGTATATTATGATTCTGCTTGTTCATCTGTTAGTTAACAAGTTAGCAATGTGTATTACACCCTGCCATTATCTCAGATAAATAATGCACCATTCCATTCAGACTGCTAAGAAAGATGAAAGAAAAAGATATATCAGAGATGCCTGTTTTGTTTTTTGTGTGAAAAAGAAAGTATACATAACAATAAGAAATAAAGAGTGAAGATAGAAGAGGTGATAATGCTCTCATGCATTTATTATGTTTGTTTCCATGAAATGGAAAAACTTGTTAGTTTTTAATCTTTATATTTCTAAATGCATTATCACCAAATTTGTTCTGGCATTTTCCAAGCATACTCAGCCAATTTTTTTGTGAATCAGGTCACACTTAATTTCATGCTTTAAAACCATTTTTGTGACCAGAAAATTGCAGGCAGTGTTTCTTCTACAAAAAGAGGAAGAATGACAGTTTTGAATATGTTGTTAAGCTGCTTAGTTTTTACTTAAACTAAGCCATGTTACAATTATTAGAAATAAAAATATCACTCAAGCCCTCCTTTTCAGAGGGGCTATTTGAAGCATCATTCACAATTAAACAATCTTTCCTCTAAAACAATTGAACTGGGAGCAATGCATTATTCTATTAACAAAGCTAAAGACTGATAGGGGATGTGTGGGTAGTGTAACAGGTATTGGTGAAGAAAGTGGAATTGGCAAGCCAAGTTCAAATCCAAACCAACTCTGTTGCATTCACTTTCATACCCTATGCTAAACTAGAGTAAAGGAGGAAAATATTAAAATGATCTGAAAAAGTAAACACATTTTCATAATTCAAATATACCATTTTTAATGCTTTTAAAGCATGTTGCTTAAGATAAATTTTAAGCTACCTACATTGACAATTGCCCTATAGATTTCATATTCAGTATTTTTAACCAGAGTTTCTGTAGGTAATGCGGTGTGGGTAGAGTAACCATTAACACTGAAAAAAAAATGAAACTGGAAACTGGGGTCCAAATTCCAGATGAGATAGTCTGTGTTCATTTTACGCTAATGCCTTTAGGAAAGGCAGGAATCCATTTATTCATATAGGTTAAATAGCAGTAACTACTCTAGAGAAAAAACAACTTTGAATTCAAAACCAGAGAGAAAGCAACGGAGAAACTACTTCACTATTTTTCCAAAGAAAAATCATGGTAAGGCACAGTTTACAGATATTAAAGTGGGATGCTGTGGAGAACCATTATCACTTATAAGCTAAAGGGAAATTGCATTTAATAAAAGGGGTGAAGTATAGCTTGTTATACTTATCAGAAAATGTTCAACTCACCTTATCCTTTTGTTTTAGTGCTTGCTGTTTCTGTATTTCATCTTCCAGTTCCTCATCAGATTCACAAAATTCTGAATCAGAGGAGGCATTATCATCCAAAACCTCTTCACAAGCTTTGTCCTAAAATTATAAAATGAAAACACTAAGCTCCTCTTATACAAAAATTTAATTACTTTGTGAAAGTATTTCTTAAAATTTGATGCAAAAAGTTTCATTTTTATTTTCAATAAGATAGTTAAGCATCAAGAATGCCTTTAAATATCTTTTATTGAATTCAACTAAGATGACAGTCTGTTTAAATTTGATCTGTACATATCATTACTGAAAGACAAACTGGAAAAGTTTAATAAAAAAAAATAAAGATAGACATTGTCAAAATCACTAAAAACATATAAGAAAATTGACATAAATCTCATTCCTTATCCACAATACTTAAAAGGTTAATTTAATCGATTTCCTGTTTGGATTAAACAAAAAGTTTCACTTAAATTTATGATAAAGATTTTAAAACAAAGGATTATGTATTATTAAAAAAAATTTGGTGTTGGTGGGGATTATGCATTATTTCAGTTAAAGCAGGCAAAGTGCTGTAATAAAAATTATAGGTGTTGCATTTTGAGCTTAATAGAAAGAAGAAGCATTCCTAGCTTGGCATTTTGGTATTGTGAGAAGAAAATTTCATAACAAAATTAAAATATATCTATACATAATGAAACCCAAACTGTTCTTGTCAAAAACTATATATATATGTGTGTGTGTGTGTGTGTGTGTGTGTGTGTGTAAACAAAATAATATTAACATAAGACAAATTTTAGTAGATAACATCAAAATTTTATATAGGAGTGTAAAGAAAGACTCAAAATTCTGGAGGCTGTCGTAATAAAAGAGAAGCAGCCACCATTAAACAAGGTATCTTTCTCCATAGGGGGACCATAAATAGAAGTGGGTTTCAAAAATTAAAATGTGTATGTCTGTATTATGTAGTATATGCTGCAAATTTTTATGTCATTTTTATAATACATTTTAAACTGATGTAGTCCTCTTCTTAATAAATATATATTTTTTTTACATTCTGTTTGTTTTTCATTTAAGAAGTTTTGTGCATGGTTATAAAAATCATTTATTGTAGACAATACAATTGACAAATTTATATAATTTAAAATGAAAACATGTGGTTCTTACAACATCAAATTTTTCCCATGCTGCATAGTCGGAACTTTTGATCCTGATTGGTTTTTTTGGGGCTGGGTCCTTCTTTTCATTAGCATTCGTTTTCTTCTTTTTTTTTGAACTGTTTCGTACTGGAGGTAATTTCTGAAATAAATGAGTCATGATAATGAGGAGTTGGTTGATTTTTTTATAACATATAAGCCCTTGTTAGGATATTAAATATCAAAATTAGTCTTCTTTTGTTTTTTTAAAGCATTTTACTTGGTTTGCAGATAAGTAAAAATATCAGTGATCTTTATTTGAGTCTATAAGCATTTCCCATTTACTTAGTTTGGGAATAGATGTTTGTTTATATTTTTAAGCTGTTAAACATTTACTTGGTGGAGATGTCTTACCTCTCTGTAGTGGATGCAGTCACCCACTGACAGGGCAGGGTGATAGGAGGAAAATGGTTGAGCATTTATAAATTATCACAAATAAGACATGTATTGCAAGGATGAGCTGAAGTAAGGAAAACAAAAAATGTACAATAATTTTTTGCATATCTGATTCAATGAAAATAATATTAAGTAGTTTTCTTCATTTGTATTTGTTTCATCCTCTCAGCGGGAACATTTTTAAAAAAAATGAATGGAAAAGGAAAATTAGAGAAAGACATGCTGAAAAATTTTTGGAAAATAAGAGTTAAACTTTAACAAAGAATAAAATATTTGCATATGTAAACTTTTATTTATTTTCAAGATCAAATATTTTCACATCTAAATTTATTTTTTAGAAAAAAAAATTATGAAAGAAAAAAAATAAGGACATCCTTTTTATCAGAGAAATTGGATATTTATTTTATTTCATAGGCAAAGATTTAAATTTAAAACTGCAAAATTTAATAATAGTAGATAGGTTTGCCTAGCATCCGGTTCATACTCCTCCCCTATTGAACAGGAGTAATATACAAATAAAAAACAAATAATTACACTGGAGATACAAAGAGCTAAGTCTTTCCTTCATTTCAGCTGAGCTTTGAAAAATGAAGACTTAAACATTTTTTTAGTCTGTGGTTTATGGAGCAAAATGAAACAAGAATCTGTTAAGTTCTCTTTCATGTAATGCAAGTTCTTTTCATACATTATCGAATCTAGCTATTCAAAATCTGAAATCAGAAAGTAAGCCCGTTCTTGAATGAAAATGTTACCCAAGTTAGGAATTAAAATAATGGTGTGTGGATTTTATTTGATAAGAAGAATCATAAGATTAATAAATTATCTTAAAATATTTAAGTATGCTTTTGAAAAAAAAAAAAGCAAGAAACAATAAAGAAACTGAAAATCTTGTTCGATAAGTTTTTATGTACTTATCAACTTTAAAAAGTTTTTTTTTTATGTACTTATCCACTGAACTTTGAAAAGTTTTAATGAAAAATTTTCCCCTAAACAAATCTTTAATTTCGTTTCTTATTTTGAAGTAACTGGCGGTCCTGAAAGTTAATGGAAAAAAAAAATCTCCAGGTTTCCTTACAGCTGAAGACCCGTCAGTATTATCAGGCTCCTTTAAATTCTCTTCTTTTTTCTTCATCTCTCCTTCCCAATTATCCAAATCTCTAAGGTAATCCTGAAGTTCTAGGTTGTTCTCTCGCATCTGCATTTGCAGATTAAGCATTTTCTCTTCATGCTTTGACATCGGCATTGTCAGATGTAAAAATAAAAAGCAAAATGCTTCAACAGCTTAAAAAAAAAAAATGAATTTAATATTCCTAACAAGAAGAAAAAGCTAAGCACTCTATAAAAACTGTCCTACAACGGCATGCGATGAAATTTTCATGATAGAAACAACTTCCGCTAAAGAAGCCACCACTTCCGGTATTCATTTCAATGTTTATCTGCCTCTTTACGAAAAACTTTACTTAAGTTGAAATTAGAGACTCATAAAAAATGGAGTCAGTGAAAGGTTTGAGATCTGAACTATATATATATATATATATATATATATATATATATATATATATATATATATATATATCAGACAAATAGGCCTTGTCATCAGTATGGTAGTTGTCTGCTTTTTCGAGTAAATTTGTGAAAAAGAAACGAATAAAACAAAATCACAGGGAAACAATTATTTTTAAACAAATAGTGGATGAGACAGAATTGGGTAAGTTTTAAATTGTAAGGAAGTAAAATGGTATGTGACCCCGACGTGATTTGAACACGCAACCTTCTGATCTGGAGTCAGACGCGCTACCGTTGCGCCACAAGGCCTCATGTGATTGTGAGGCAAAAAACTAAGAGTATATATAGTAATTACAACTATTATTTTTTATGGTGGCAATATGCTACAGCAAAATAGACAAAAATAATTGGCACTAAAATAAATTTTTATGAATGAAATAAAATAAAAGTTCTTATTTCGATGTATGCACTTTTTTATTTTAAATTAAAAAAAATTGGAACTAATTTTCTTTTCAAAAAACTCAGAAATTTCAAATTAATAAAGTTGTTTAGTTTTTTTTAGTAAATAGCTATTTTTTTTTAGTTTAATTTCACAAAGTAAAACAGGCATATGAAATACGGCTAGCTTCTGTTTTAATGACCAAAAAGTTTTTCAGATATCAAATATCAAATTTACGTTCATGTTATTGTTATTTTTCCTGCCCTCATATTTGGATGTGCACATAAATTTATTCCATAAACAATTACAAAATGATTCACAATAATAGCGTTGCACTTCGCATTAAGCTGGAAACTATTTTAATTTTAAAAATAGAAGGAAAAATGAATGGAGATATTTTGAAATTGAAAATAAAATAAAAAAAAAATTAAAGCTTAAAGTTATCGACTCGACAGCAAAAATGAAATTACTCAAGTTATTCTTGGCATTGTGAAAGAAAAAGTTTTACTTTTTGAATGCTGCCTTCTTTATCATTCGGTGGATTCCCCCATTTGCGCCAACGCTTTCTTGTTGGGACCACAGATTTTTTTTTAAGCATAAAGCCGCGTTTCCGATCTTTTTTTATTAAAATATTGCGGCTTGTTAATACAACAACCGTCAGTTCTTTTAGTCGCCAGTTGATTGTGTGAAGCGACAAAAAAACAAAAAACAAAAAAAAAACAAGATAGATTTAAGCAAGCGTTGAGCAAATGTGGCACAAGGCCGAAAGTATAGAGCACTAAAAGAATTCATTATTTCGAAAAATCATATTTCATTTAAAATTTAGTAAAGTCAACAAATATCCAAACATAAAAAATATTGATCAGTAGGAAGTTTTTTTTATTTACTTTTTAGTTCTAGGGAGTTTACTGCGTAAATAAAATAAATGTGCAGAAAACTAAAAGTAAAACGTTTCGGTTTGCAGTTTGCACACTTGTTGCAATCAAAACAGATTTTGTTATGAATTAGAATTGCAAATTTCTGAAATAGCTTGTCGTTGAGTCAAGACTCAAGAAAAAAATTTTTTTTTTTAAATTTATCCAAATTTTGCATAACTTCAAGAATTCAAAAAAAAAAGTTTTTGCAACTTTTAAATTTAAATATTCAAACTCATATAATTTCTAGGTTTTGTATTTTACTCTGCTTCAAATCAAATTAGAGACCTCTCTTTCTGATTCCTCCACATAAAAACCTGTCGGTCGGATGTGAACGCTATGAAAGCAAAATTAAAAGTTTTTTATTCATATTGTGTAATAATCGTATGGTTGCAAGAGTAAAAGTTTTAAATAGCCTTCTCCACTGTTTTCGCAGGAAAACAGCATAGCGTAATGAAAAATGCCACAAACTTAACGAAAATAAAGTTTTATCGTCAAAATGCTTATTATGTTATTATAAAGATGAAAGACCAAAAAGCATTTTTAATTATTTTTTTAATATTTTCTAACACGTTCGAAATTTTGGTTAACGTCATCGCGGCGACATAGAAAATAAATAACATTGTTTTTTTTTTTGCGATTTTTTTCCTTTGAAAACATATTGATTTGGAAATTCTTGTAAAAATCAAGTAATTGTCCGATGTTAATGAAATTTTCAGGACTTATTCACAAATGAATGAAATTATTTTTGAAATATTTTTTTTAGAAAATTTTGGTAAAATTTTTTTTTTTTTAAATATGTTACCCCCCACTGACTTAATTTCATGAAATTTCGCCCAAAACCTCACTGGTTCCTGAAAAATTTTTTCTGTTAAAAGTAGGAGTCTTTGGAAATGGTAAATCACCTACTTTTTTTTTTTTTTCAAATTTGAGCTAAAAGGTTTAAAAAGGTAAATTTGCTTTTTAACACCCGCGCTAAATATATCTTAAAAGTTTTTTTTTAAATCGTCATAATTCCATGTAAATGTACATGCTGAACTGGAATTAACAATTAAATTATGAAGAAACCTACCGTTTTGGAATTATCGACAAGAAAATATCGGACTTCTTGTTGGTCATTCGCCCCCCATTACTGCTATAATGTTTAGTAATTCACTGCGTAGTACTTACGTCGGCGTAATAAGATATTTTGGCCTATTTACTTCTTTTACAGATTTTTGGTACAAAAAAATCACTACCGTAAAGTAATGACAAATTAAAAGAACAAATTAAATAATGCAATAAAGCTTCTTTTTTAAAAAAAAATGAAGCGAACAAATTGAAAAAAATATAAAACCGTTATTTCGTTTCTAGCATTTTTTTTATTTTGTAATTTTATTTTGTATGTTTATGGGTTTAGTTTAGAGTTAGGTGTTAGGATTAGTGGGTGTGTTTGGCAACTTTCTGTGTAGAAAAGGGGATAAATTAAAAGAATAATTAAATAATACAATAAACCGGGTTCAGTTTAGGTTGGGTGTTAGGGTTAGGAGTTGTGTTTGGCTTCTTTCTGTGTAGAAAAGGAGACAAATAAAATAAAAAAAAAACATAATACAATCAACCCTTATTTCGTTTCTACTTTACCAAGTTTAAATGCTTCATTATATTATTTAATTTGTTCTTTTAATTTGTCATTGCTATTCTACACAGAAAAAAAGTTTTATTGTACTATTGAATTTGTTTTTGTTTAAAGTTTTCTGTTATAAATAAAACTAGGTTTATAAAAAATTGCTTTACGATAGTGAGTAGTGATTTTTTTGCGCCGAAAGTCTGTAAAAGAAGTAAATAGGCCAAAATTTGTGCTTTCGCCGCCGGATATATGCCGCAGTAAATTACTAAACATTATGGCAGTAATGGTGGACGAATGACCAATAAGAAGTCTGATTTTTTCTTGTAGATAACTCCAAAACAGTAAGTTTCTTCATAATTTAATTGTTAATTCTAGTTCAGCATGTACATTTACATGGAATTATGACGATTTGGGGAAATTTTGAGAGATATTTAGCGCGGGCGTTAAAAAGCAAATTTACCAAATTTTGTTGGCATTTAAATAACCTATTGAGATTGATATGCCGTAAAACAAACCAAACCAAACCAACAGCGCACGGGAAGAAACAAGAAATAAAGCTTAACCACACCATTTTTTTAAAAAATTATTCAACCCACAAGTAAGGCGATAATGCCACTAAGACGCAACTCAACTGTGTGTGAAAGTGAATGAGAAAACTGTTGAGGAGAAAGGACTAGAAAAGAACAAGTTTCAGGTCGACAGAAGATGGTGTGGAATCATCCCTTTCAGAAAGATATATTCTTTTCTAAAAAGTCTTTAACCAATCATCATCTCGTTTCTGCAAATTCAACTTTCTATTGGTTAATAAACACCAAATTGTAGCAAAGTTCCAGGCGAATCCTATTTCCAGCCGATCTCTCTGGAGCCGATTTTGCTACACAAAAATCTATAAAAATAACTGCATGACTCAAATCAGTCAGTCATCGAGTTTCATGAGATGCTACCAAACTCCACGCGTGTCAATTTCACACACCACAATGAAATCTCAACAAACTCAGCAAAGCATTCATCAACCATTGTCCGCGTGCTAATCAACATCTACAATTGACTTAAAAAGTGAACGTTTTCACTGCTAAAAAAGTAATTGTACACTTCACCAATTTAGCCTATCAGCTAAAGGCAAGCAACTCTTGATAACATTTATCCTTACTTCTAAATTACGCACGAACACACACTGATAAATAAACGAACACATTTGACATCTTTCTTTGCAGAAACCAAATTATTTTAATTTTTCTAACAATCAAAAGGCATCAACATTTCTTAACCACATTTCTGCATAAACATTCTGTAACATTATCTTAGTTATTACAACAACAAACATTTTGATTGTCATATGTATTTATTGTTGATATAAAAAATTTCCTTATTGTTAGATTCTCTAACAACTGTCTTTAGTAATTTCTTGCCATGTAAATTGTCCTTAAATTGTTTGTGTAATCTATATGTTGTGGGATACTGATATTATAAGCACGCATAATCTTCGTCTTACATAAATTTACCTTCTGATACATTTCACTCCATGTACATCCTGCAACAATGGCGTTTTTTTAACGTTAAATGAAGATGAAAATTTGAACAAAATCAACTTGTTTGTTAATCAAAGATTAATTAGTTTCGATCACTTTCCTCGTGATCTTTCGCTGTGTAAAACAAATCAAACTTTGGAGGATTTCCCCAGAGAGTATTATTGTGAGACTGAACTACTTAATTTACTTTTTTATTTAACTCGGTGC